TGGGGAAAGAAGTTCATCAGTGTACTGCGCTAATATTTTTTTGCGAAAAATCTAGAAATATTACCCAAATTAAATTGTGACTATTCAAAAGAAGACATTCAAATCTTTATTATGTAAAAAAAATCAAATTTGTCCGAAGCAGGGATAATGCTCATTTAGATTGATGAACTTCGTTCTCCAAACCGAGAATCGTCCTTTAGAATTTTCCGGGCAACATTAGGCATGCTATTCACCCTCTATTCTTTGCTGCCTACTGAGGCATTTCTTGGGGGGCAGTACATGTATTTTATATTGTGTTCTTACCGGTAGACCAGGGAGACCTCTGAGCTCTGTAAGATTGTTCTGTATATCTCCTGCACCACCCTGTAACACAGAACAAATGCATAGAATTCATGTTATTTTGCAAGCATACCATTGCATGTGTTATAATATATAAAAAACAGACACGCAATGATAAACATGACACTTTGAAGAGCATGATGGCCACCATGTAATTTACCCAGCATGCCCAAAATCTAATCAGATGTTGGCACAAGTTTATTCTTGCATCTGTAAAGATTTCAAGTTGAACAGATCAGCATTTTTTCTAAAATTTTAAATAACAAGATTTATGTGTCATCCACCAATCGGCTCAATTGTAAATAACTAATTGAGAGTCATGTTTGTATCAGTACAATTCTTTGTCACCACAAACGTGGAAAAATGAGTGATGGCGTTAAAACAACTTTTTCTCAAGGACTAAAATAAGTAACCTTGTGAAACTTTCAGATGTTTATGATAATTAAATTGTCCGTCAGGTGACAACATTTCTAGAATATTTCTTCATCACTCACGGAGCTTGAGTCATTTATTGTTTGTCTCAGATACAATTTTTGGAACACCCTGTATGTGTCTATATCAACACAACATACTGTAATGTATTAAATTATTTGATAAATGCTAAAATTTTGAGTGGCATGGATAAATTGGCATAATCTGTTTAAATGACACCATGCAACATGTAGACAAACTCTGCCAACACTTTATCACCCACAGAATTTATTTTTTTAAACACCAATATTACACTAAAACATGGCCTAAAGTAAATGTTTTGGTCACCTTTTGATCCCTATTTAGTCTACAGTATCAAGTAGCCTGTTGTTTTCCAAGACTGTAACAATTAATGTTATGCATATTTTGTGTGTCATGATGACAGGAAAAATCAAGCTTGTTTTTATTAGGTGAAATCATGGTGTCATAAAGTAGCAAATAAAAATATTTTTGAATCATTAACACTTTTGCAGACTTAAATATTAGGACTCCAACGTATTGACATTTTTCAGTTTAGTTTTCTGTTTTAGCCCTTCCAGTTGGATTCACTTTATTTTGGTTAATAAATAGGTCTTGCAATATGCTTAAGTGTATCAAGAATTGTCATCAAGTTCACTATAGCAAACTATAATGTTTTTAAACAAGTAAATGTTAATAAATGTTAAAAAAACAGTTTTAAGTTTTTCTGAATAAATGTTCTACATAAACTCAAATCATTCATCTTAGAAGCAAAACATTGAACATGAACTCTTTTATTTTCTAATTGTGCTTTTAAATATTTTTTGGTTAATAAATAAAAAACATTTTTTGGTCTTCCCCTTTTGGCATTATGCTTCAGTCTTCAAGAAAATTTGAATAGTATAAGCCCATATGCTCAAATTGTAATTTATGATATAGACAGAAACACTTAGAAATATGTTTCAAGATTGTAAGTGGCTTGGGAAGAGAAAAATATATGAATGAAGCCAACTTCTGAAGAAATTGGAAATTCAATTCATGTTTTTCCATTTTATTATAACTACATGTAATTTCAAACATTCTAAACAACTTAGCATGTAATAGCATGTAATACTGTATTGTCTGGCTGTTGTTACTTCATTTACTTATGCAAGTTGCACAGTCGCTGGGGGATTTGAGAGACAAGTCTTTATAAAACTCTGGAATCTTACAGAAATGTGTAGTATACTTGAATTTATGTATAGAAATGCAATTAATTTGCCTGTTATTCTTTAAGGTTATCAAAGATATTCAATCTGAACCATGCACTATGATTGTAAAATCCAATTTTCAGGACAAGTAAGATCAATTAACATTGGTAGAAAATCAAAACAAAACAAGTGCTACATAAACTAAACTGAAATTGATCTAAAACATTTAGACTTTACAAATGAGGCTTCGTGTTCCTGCAAAGTGGTCTGTCTCTTCACAAAGTATGCACCATTTATATTTCAACATATTCCTGTTTCTCAGTGGGGCCTGTTTTCTTATTATAATTTTTGTGAAGTCAAAATATCTCATTATGGTTGACTTAAGCGGTTGTTGCATATGATGTTTAAAGGAGGAATATTAAGATGAAACGATTAAAGTAAGATGAGGTATAAAACATAATGCAGACAATGCCATTAATCTAAATTTGAAGACATAACATTTGTATCTATAATAAAACTGGATTTCTTACCTTTTGTCCCTTTGCTCCCTGTGTACAGCAGATTATGAAATAGAAAGAACATATGAATAAACAATTTTTTATAGAAATTGGACTAAAATGCAAAACAATATGGAGGTGTATATATAAGTGATCGATTAATGTGACTCCAAACATTTGCATTTTTGAACAGCATGACAAACCATGCCTACCTCCGTCCCCCAACAAAAAGTAAAATGATGATCAAGACTTTGGTGAAATCACTAAATTAGGACTCTTTCTTGGCCCTTAGTTTGTACCAAGTGGTTGAGGTGTCATTACTTTCCATTAGACTATATCTGGTGAAAGTTATCTCATGGGACCTTTGAAAAATACATGGATACAAAAACTATTAATAACAGAGACTAGCATACCATTTTTCTCCAAAATATTTGATATAAGGGGATTTTTTAAATCAGAATCATCAGTTTATCATTACGAATTTGTTAATTTAATAAAATCAACATAATTAAAAAAGAAGAAAATTTTAACTTTATCCAGTATGACTGAGTCAGACGCATTTATTTTGTAAAATACAGGGCGACAAAAAGTATGGGGGACAACATCTATTACCATTAACAAACTACACCTCCAATCAATTATATAGCAATTTCACATATACTAATAAAGAGCTATGATATGAAACTATGTATATCAATATAGACATATATTTATTTATTAAGGTGAAATATCACAACAGGATTCATAATTCTGAATAAACATATGGCCAGAAACAAGGATGCTTGAATATTTGGATGCTTTAAATATTAATCTGGGAATTCATTGAAGCTAAATTGTTTTTTAATAAAACAAGAACATATTAGAATATCAACAGTAAACACACATTGAATGATTCAAAAACTGAGAATAAAAATGAATTTTAATGGCAGGAATAACAGAAAGATGTTAATGCATTCTATGTTTTTTCATGCCACTGGGGACATACATAGACTAATATAATATTATAATGAATATGTCAAAAGGGTGAGATGTCATAAGGATATGTCAAATGATGTCACAAGGGGTATCACAAACAGACAATTTAACAAGATAATGACAGGATGATATATGTAGTAAATACAGTATATTGGTGATATGTAACATATGGTTGAGACACCACAGAGATTATAGAGGTGGGATGGTATCTTATATATTGGTGATATGTAACATATGGTTGAGACACCCCAAAGATTACAGAGGTGGGATGGTATCTTATATATTGGTGATATGTAACATATGGTTGAGACACCACAGAGATTACAGAGGTGGGATGGTATCTTATATATTGGTGATATGTAACATATGGTTGAGACACCACAGAGCACCACAGGGATTACAGAGGTGGGAGGATGGCATCTTATATCTAGCACATGATGTTAAAATATTTAACCAAGTATAATTTTGTGTAAAGTTTATCTAAGTATTATTCTTATTATCTCTACTTGGTAGATAATCATTATGTAGGAACTAATTCTAACAAATGCAATAACAATTTGATTAAATGGAGCTACCAATGTTTAAGGCCAAAGATACGATGTCCTACTTCTATCTTTTTTATTTAAAAAGACTTGTGAGTTCTAGAATTTCTAAGACAGCATTTTCTGCTTCCTATTTGAAAACCAAACTGGTATGCTCCATTTAAAACTACAACAAAATGAATAACTTTCTATCCAGCAAACAAATATTTTCTAAACATGTGCTGTCCTTACCTTTGGTCCTCTTGTGCCTGGCCATCCTGGGATTCCAATAGGCCCCTACAGGGTGACACAAAATCACAGACACATAACCACAGAACTGAGTCACATGGAGCCGTTAGTTGTTATGTGGTTATGCAAATAAATATGTTGCAAAGAAACAGTTGACTTTATTGATTTTGCTTTTGGAAAATTGCAATTCTATAAGGTTGTATAATTTGAACTTCAATTTTCCTTGAAGTAAATCAAAAAGTTTCATTGATAATGAAATAATTTCCAAACTGGCTAATTGCTATATTCTTCTTCATTAATATTCTGCCAGAGGTATATGGAAATATTCCAATTATAATCATCAAAATCACAAGTTTATGAATAGTTAAAAACGAAACTATTCATACATTCACATCAACAACAATGAAGCATGGTATATCGTTATCTAGGGAGGGGGGTATTTATAGCTGGGTAGATTAAAAATCAATGCGTAAATCAAAAACCAAAAGTAAAGCATAGAACCTAAACTCTACACAACATAACAGAACAATGTTGACAAAACTCTCCCAGTGTTTATGTCCACATTGCGTCTAACAGAACAAAATGGTGCATGGCATGGAGCTAATTTAGGATAGCATGTTTTGCATGGGGCAAATTTAGGATAGCATGTTTCGCATGGGGCAAATTTAGGATAGCATGTTTCGTATGGGGCATTTTCAGGATAGCATGTGTTAGCAATCACCCTTCTGTTTACACGATCATGGTTCATATACATGACAATGCTTGAAAATAATAAGGATGAGGAAATTTAGTATAAATACCGGAAAACCATTCCTGCCAGGTGGCCCCATAATTCCCTGCAAAAAACACATGTAGAGACCATTTAAAAGCCACACCGGCATGCATGAGAGAGCATTTGCACTGGCACAAATCCTTCCCAAGGTAGATGGAATATATAATATTGCAAAATTTCCTTAGCCAAAAATAAATATTTAAAATGAAATTCAAAATAATACATTTTCTGGATTGTTTGCTTCATGGAATATTGCATGATGGTAGTTTTTTCAAAAATGTTTCCCAAATTAAGTTTTGTGATTTTCTAGTTGATAAATTAAAAGTTGAGGTGTTTTTTAATGACAGGAGCTTTCCAAATTAAAAAGTTAACACGTTTTCTTCAATAAGTTCCTCTGTCATTAGATTAAAATAAAAATAGCAAATGCTCAAAAATTTAGGTAAGAAACATATCACAAGAAAAAGAAAGGAAAGAAAAACTCAAGAAAATGCCAAATCAAACGCCAAAGGTTTGTATAAAATAAATGCACAAAAAAGTTGCAAGTGCTATAACAAAGGAGGGTATACAAGTATAACTATCCCAGAATTCCCTATGTTTTGATAGATTAAGTGAGACAAAACCATTGTGAAATAAGGATACAATTTGTTCAGCAATCTGACATATGTCTATCTCTACCAAAAAGTTTGCTACATTATTTTCCTATTTTTAATATATTAATAAATGTAGTGACTATGAGAGCATCTGCCAAATATCAGTAACTTATTATCAAACAATAGATAATCTAAATTTTAAGTTGTCTAAACACTAAAATACCAAATATATATTAGCAGGGTCAAGGTAATGAATGACACCATGCCTTCTAATTTATACTATCACTGCTACTATATATCAAGTTCTAAACTATTCCAAAAATATATTAGGAAGGTTGAGTAATTTTCGATTTCTTAACAATTTAATACAGTTGAACTTTAATCTAAAATTAAGAGATTTAGACAATTTCATTTAAGAAAAAATAGCTTTTGATCATTTGATTTGTACTTGATCTTAATAAATAAATGGACAATCAATATGTGTGGTTTTGTGATATTTACTATATTTACTGTAAAGGTCTTCATTTGCTTTTCACCTGGTTACCTTATACATGACTCATTAACATACCTGTGATCCTTGATCACCATGGTCACCTTTTTTACCCCTACGTCCCTCATCTCCCTTCAAACCAGGGGGACCTGAAAAGAGAAAAATATGTTTTGAAAACCCTATTATTGTATCAGCATTATTCCTATTTCCTACTTTACATGTAAATGGTTTTCAGCATTTTAAGTGTCCCATGTTTAGTCACAATATGCCAGTCAACTATATGTCACTATATGAATATAGTTTATTACATTAACCAAAAAAATTTTATTCAAAATGGAACATTATATTTTTAAAAATTCATATTTTCTTTAAAAAATTAAAAACACTGTCATCAAAATAAAATGACACCCTGTAAAATAAGAAATAACTACAATTAAAATGTCCAATGGTATTTCAATTAATGGGACTCTCAGGCTGGGTTTATGATCCTATCTTAGGTGATTATCATTACAATCCACTTCTGGTAATTGAGAATATGTCATTAATACTAATCTTGTTAGTGGAATGGAGTATTGAATCATGGGAGAAATATACCTCCTCTCCACAAATGTTTATCCAGATTCAACATAAGTTCAGTTTAATTATTTAGACTATAATTTTCAGTTTTTAAAAAAATAATGTTTGAAGAAAATTTTCTTTTGTGTTAACATTTCTGATTATGAACAATTAATTTATTCATTTAATAGATATAAATATTATACAATAGTTCTGACAGTTTAAACTTTGATTATCCATGTGCTCATAAACAAAACAAGTTTTACTGCATGTTTCATGTTGGAAGTGCCTATTAATCCCATTTTGTATAAACTTCACCAGGTAAAACTAGCCAGATACCCCATGAAGGTGAGATTATCAGCATTTACCTGGACTATGCTATATCTGCAACTTACCAAAACTACCATTAATTGTACATAAACATACATCCACATCTCTGGGCACTTACTTCAAGTTCACCAGGCTCAACAAAAAGCATGAACATAAAGACACAGACGAGCAAAATAATATCATATTTAAAAATGAAATATTACTGATATATGAACTTTTGTTTGATATGTCCTGGTTAAAACCTGCAAATACAACATGCACTTGTAGAATTTCATAATGAGTATCCGGATCTAATGAATTTCACTTCCACATTTACTGATCTGCATGAAATAGTTCTAACATGGTATAAAGTATGCAGTGAGTAGTTGAGAAATGTTGGTTATTAAGTCAGAGTTTAATAAATCTTGGTTTCCTCACACCTGTGTGTGATTCAACAACATAGTAGTACTACATCATTCCAAGACCTCCATAGCTATCTTCTTGAAACATTGGGCATTGCAGCCTGAAAAACACCATTTCCAATAATTTGATTTTGATTCATTAAAAGAGTACTTCATCTACATAATTGCTAGGCTCTGAAACAACTCAGAGTATTTCATACAAAGACCTAATAAACATTTAACTAGTCCATGTAAGTAAATGGTGATGTGCCTTAATATAAGATGAGAATTTTTGAGGCTCATTCTGCCATATGTGCAATGCTGGGAAATTGAGGAATTGCTCTAAAGTACATGAGGGGAGACATATATATCTACATGTATATATTATGTAATGGCTCAGTGCCTTGTCTGCTCTAATGATTCCTTGTTGAATTTTCTTGCATAATTTAATAAGCTTTTTTACTATAATGAGTCCAAACATAAATGGTTTCTTGAGTATGAAAAGGATAAACCTGGCAAATAAAAGAAGCCTCAAACAATGATAATCTAAACTTCATGAATTTTATTGAAAATTGTACAGCATTTGATGAACTTGATTTCATTGATATCTTCCTGGGAACATTTTATTACAATAAAGTTGAGAAAGTTGTTCTGTTGCAGAAAGGATGCTCCTCAAGGAAAAGTTCATTGCTCTTGTTTAATCTCTGTGCGTATGGCACATACTTGAGCTTATCATGTTCTGGGCCAGCAATCAAAGACATGTCTTCCTCTGTAGTGTTTCTATCAATAGCCCCACGTCAACACTCATCATCTTCAAGTATAAGGGTGGAGGTGCTAATTTTAGATCCAATGAATTTGTATTTTGTACATCTTCATCCCACAAGTACAGGTCATGAGATGGAAAGTGCCTGAGTTAAAATGTATATTGCATTCTATCATTTCTTGTTAAATCCTAATCCCAATAAGGGGGTAGTACTTGGCATGATGGTATCTCTTCTTATGGGTTTTAATATCTTTAACACTACCTTTGTAGGTACAAATTCTAGATCTACTGAAATATTATAATATTAGATTTCAACTTTTAAGGTGAGCCTAGTGGGTTTTCTTTTCGGATTGTTGAATATTATTTCATGATAAATGATAAAGACCAACACAGGCTGTCCAACTGTTCCACAATTTGCGAATTTGTCATGCATTTCACGCTGAAGAAATTGAAGTCATGCCAAAAAATGAACACTGATATATCAAAAAAACGAATGCCGAAAAAACGATTTTCACAGGAATTCCGTATATGTCAAGCATTTGCTTCAAAATTTTTTGTAAAAGTTGAGGTGTCCAATATTTTGGACCAAGGTGTTCAGTTTTGGACCAAGATGTCCACAATTTGAAGGAAGGTGTTCAACATTTTTAAGTCACTCGTGTTAGGTGTTCCCAAGTTGACAGGCCTGCTAACATTTAGATATTATCATCCAGAAGACTCATTCTACTGAGCCATCCTTTAATTTTTGATACATTCTCAAATATACCTGGTATTCAACTGTTTGTTATATGGACAAAAACATCATTTTTAATCAAATAAGGTTTATTTAGCAAAGTAGTTAGCAGTTCACTTTTTTAGAAAAATGGCCTAAGATTAACCAAATATTGTTCCTGCCCTCCCATGTAAATGTTCATGTCTACCTCTTCTTATCAATCCTAGAATCTTAAGATATAACTTAGATTGAAAAAAATGCAAAAAATGCTGACATAATATTTGGGTTTTACTTGGAGGTATATTGTTTCACATTGGGCCCGGTTGATACCCGTGGTCTTTGACATAAAACTATTATATAGTTTCAACATAACTGACACTATGACTACATAGTACCCCATGACACCACTATACATAGTAGCCCACTAACCCTCTTCTGTGAAGACAAACTAGAGTTTGTAAGTGTACTATATAAAACACCCACCCTATCACTCATATGCCAAACCTACATGAATGTGTCTAATAGAGCTCACTTATGAACCAGTACTATATACTGTATAATATCTGTCAGGAAAATGTAAAACTGAACTGAGAAAATGAAAAAATGAGGGTAAGAGGCTGACAGGAAAGATTAGATGTTAAATTAATAGATTGAGACTATATCAGGAATCAATTTGCTTTTGCTTCAGGTCTACATGTAAATGTGATGATGGTTTTTTGGGGTTTGGAAAGTAACTTATTAAAATTGGATACAAACAAACTCAAGATTCTTTTCCTAATTTTATGTTACGTAATTTGAAAGGCATAATCTTTCAATTTCATTCCAGATTTCATTATTCTACGGTTACTAAAATTACTGAAATAGGTTAGAATTCTAAAACATCGGTGACCATTTTGAAAATTGTTTTTTTGAGGAGTATTTAAATCCCTATAAAGCATATGCATTAAAAATGTGAACACAGTTTGGTCATGGTAGTGATAAGCCCAAAAATGACAATTTCTAAAGCTAATGTCAAACCTGAGTTTTGTAAAACAATTTGAAGAGTAACTGACACCCATGGTTACCCCCTGGGCTACTTGTACTTTGTAAGTGGCAAGGGTACTTATATGGGTTAGCCACAACTCTCAGAATATATTAGAGGTCAACCTAAGTATAACAAGATGAAAAACAGAGATTTTTATATTTTATTTAGCATATGATCTGGACATTCCATAACACAAGATTAAAATTGAATTATGTTATAAAAACGAGCAGATATTAAAAATCTCTTCTTAACATTGATTTAAGGTAGATCCAAATGTTGAGTATTTTCAATGATTTTTCATTATTACAATCACCAATAGTTGGTGAAATGGGAAATATTTTTCAAAATTTTATGTGGACATTTACATACTGTACTCTTTATTTCAAAATACAAATCAAAACATTTTCCTCAAACTATTTTGTCATTTTTTGTGAAAGTGCAGAACTACCTTAAGACAAATGAAGGAACTTGCATGCATCAAAAATAGTAGGAACTTGCATGCATCAAAAATAGTAGGAACTTGCATGCATCAAAGAAATAGTAGGAACTTGCATGCATCAAAGAAACAGTAGGAACTTGCATGCATCAAAGAAATAGTAGGAACTTGCATGCATCAAAGAAATAGTAGGAACTTGCGTGTATCAAAAAATAGTAGGAATTTGTCTGAAATGTTTGTTGAATTAGCAAATGTTTAAAATAACTGCATGGTATCATCCTAGGAAGTTTCTCTCTAATAATCTAAATCCTACCTTTGATAAGGAACACTTATCGATCCCTAACAGAAATAATATAATATAGAAACTTATAATACTGATGAAAAGTAAATGTTTATCCCTTGGCCATACCACTTGCTAATCCAAGTGTCAATTAAAAGTTAGAACACTTATAGATCAAGAAGTCCAGTTACTCTCACAGCATATGGGACTAAGAGTGACTTCAAATAAACATTTCTACATCTTTCAAAGGTTTCTAGATTTCATTGATTTTAGTTCTGTGCTGTGAAGATCATTGATGATCTCCAATTATCTCAAAGGGATAGACGAAACTGACTTAGATCAGAACAATTTACTAATCTTGTTCTCTTATAAATATGTATTATCTATTTGTTTTATTGTAAATCTGAACATTTGTACAAATTTATTAATTCATGTAAGAATGGCTAATATAAGATGCTTCTGAAGACAGTCTAACACACAGATCCAAGAAAACAAGACCACTAAACAAGTGCCAATTATAAACATGGCCTCAATTTGTGGAATTTCTTTGGGACTACGCATTATACTGAATAATATGAGGAAAACATAGATTAGAGTATCATGTGTTGATGCTTGCTTCTGTTCACCTTACTTGATTGCAAACTTATCATTGAGGCCAATGGGTCTGCTATT